GGATGATAAGTAAGATTTTCACTTTGTGGGGTTTTCAAGAAGAAAACGCGGGCACAATACCCTCAGAAATCCCTTGTAAACCTGTTGTATACCTGGACGGAACCGCTTCAAGACATAAACCAACAGAACATCATATTTGAAAAAACAGATATTTTACTCACAAATGACTCGCTTGCACCAAAACAATAACCTGAATTACAGCCGTCTTCTCCGGCCAGTCGCTCACTGGCGGGAGAGAAACAGAAGCAACGGGAAAAATTACATTAACACTTACTGTGAAAGCAAACATAAGGAAAGGAATTATAGAACAACTCACTTTTTAGTTGTTTCCAAAGCATTCTTTTTTCCTTATGATAGAAAAAAATAATGAAATAAATAGGCACAAACTTGTTAGCGTGCTTACCTATTTTCGATGTACTGATTACATACGCAGTGAGTATGCAGTGCCTACTAAGCGCGCGATAAGCGAAGAACTATAGCGCAAGAATGGTTACTCCCTGTCGTCAAGGTACTTCCCAATTCATAGTAACGAAAAGACAAATAAAAGGCTCGATAAAACAAGAATAAACGAGAATTTTGGTCAATACTCTTTCTTCTCCTCTCCCTTGTCCGCCATTTTGTATGTTTTGAAAATGACCATCGCCATGGTGATCATGTTATGGTTGGTGACGTAGACCATTGTTTTCGCTTCTTCCAAAACTGGCATACTCCCCAACTGTACACAGTAAATAGACCTCCTTTTAACTAGATTACAATCCCGAAGCCAAAGTTTGCCTGTTTGATCTATTCAATGCAAAAGTTCTTTTTAACTCTTTGCCATTCCTTAAAGAATTTTTAAGCGTTATTTTAACAGATTTTTTTTTGCCTTCTGTTCCGATATGTTATTTCGGAACGTTCGTTTCTGCAGACTCGGGGAGCAATTGTTTCCTTTAAGCTAATCTGGGAAAAAAAATTGATATTGAATGGAAACAAAATAGCTGAAGGGAGTAATTCCCTATTTTTACTTGCAGCGGAACTAATTGTTCCTAAATCAGTAGCTTTGCAACAAACAATGTTCAGTGTTGTTCTTGTTCCAGTTGGTTCTTTTCTTTGAGTTACTCTTGTTCGTACTGATGCGTTTCTTCTCCTTATTTTTCGTCTTCTTACTCTTCTTGTTATTGTCTGGTGTTGATGTTGTTCACTCTCCGCTTCTCTTCCCTCTCTTTCTACTCTTCCTCAGCCTAGTCCCTAGGGGTTCTCGGCTCGGTCAATCCTGAACTCTACCGTGAGCTGTGACGTCACCGAGAGAGACTCTCTCGCGCGCGCGCGCGTTCTTTTCCAGGCTTCGCGCGGACAACGGGTCAAGAGAGAACGCCTAGGGACTACGCTGACTCTTTCATTTTCCCTATTCTTTTCGTTCTCCTTCTTCTCCTCATTCTCCCCTCCTCCTTTTCCTTCACCACCATCTCCATCTCATGCGTACTCATCCTCCTTCTCCTTCTTCAACCCGTTGTTTTCCTCTTCATCCTCCACTTCTACTTCATCCTTCTCCTTCCACTACAACTTCCTCCATCTTCTTTTTCTTGTACTGTTCTTTCTCGTCCTCCACCACCATCACCACCTTCTACATGTCCCCCTCTTCATCTTTTTCTCAATCCTCTTCCTCCTCCCCACCTCTCCCTGCGCAACCACCACAATCTCCTTTCTCTCATTCTCTACCTCATTGTCGTCCTCTTTCTATTATTTTATGTCCTCTTTCTATTATTTTATTTTATTTATTTATTTACAAAAAAATAATAATAATTAAAAATACGTGTTCTTTTAACTATTCAAAACTATAATATACTTTCACAGCGGGGTTAAAATAATATATATATAGAAAAAAAAAACTAAATTTGTAACGGAAAGAAACTAAATTAAGGAAAAAGACGCAAACCCGATAAGTGAAACAGTACAGCAGTAAAGTGCACCTTAAAGGAATAAGTATTACATTCACATATCTAAAGAAGCTTGGCCCATGTTTTTTTAAATTGCGATAAGCGGTTAGATCTAAAAGCTATGGTGCAAAGAAAATCAATCTTGTTATTGAGACGCAGTAGAAAACTGTGAAAGTCCAGTCTCCATCTCCTTTTACTCTTCTTTCTCTTCCTCCGCAACCACCACCATCTCCACCTCCTACTTCTTCTCCTTCTCTATCTCGTTGTCTTCTAACCTAAACCTAGTCCTAACCCTAATGCTATTAACCCTACCCCTATACCTAACTCTTATCCTAACCCTGACCCTACCCGTATCCCCGCCTACCCTAACCCTGATTCTAACACTAACCCTAACTCTATCCCTAACCCTAACAACCCTAACAACCCTAACCCTAACCCTACCATCCCTAACCCTATCAACTCTAACCCTAATCTTCCTCCTTCTCCACCACTTCTACTCACTCCATTTCCTACTTCGTTTGCTCTTCTTTCTCTTCCTCTTCCTCCTTTACCACCACTAACTCCATCTTCTCCATCTCTTCCTTCTACTCTTGTTTCTTCTTCTCCTTCTTTTTCTACTTCATTAGTCACCTTTAATTGCAGAAGGCCCAACTCTTCACGCAAGACTCCAATTGTAGCATCGTCACTGATTACATCTTTCAATAAAGCTCCATCTTTTAACAGTTCAGTGCTTTTATCCACACATTGAAGTTCAGTGAGGATTTTTAGCTTTTTAAATAGCTTACATTCGGGGAACTTTATAGTGCAGACAACTTCAGAGTCTTGGGAACACCATCGATATTTTTTGAGTCCCGTTAGCAACCCTTTCTCTTCCATTTCCGTGAAGTCCACGCATAACCCTGGCTTAAGCAGCTCCGGATGCGATTGATGATAGGGTACTATCATAACGCCAACTTTTACGTTAAGGTCGTTTGATAAATGCTTTGCCAAAATCTCGCGGTACACTAAACATTGATAAAGAGGAACACTAAAGTTCGTAGCTTTATCCCACCAAGTTCTTAAATATGAAACATCTGTTTTACCGGTGGTCTTCCAATCAACGACCAAAACTTCAGGTTTAGGCCCAGTTACACGAATAGCGACTGCATCCATTACTCCACTGTAGAACCTTGCGTTTGATCTTTGTACACTCCAGCCCCAAATATCGACTTCTGCTGTAAGAAATTCGCACTCGAATTGGCTTTCTAATTCTTTTAACACCTTGCCTTTCAGTCCTTCTCGAGAGCCACATTTTATAAGATCTTCAAATTCTCCATGTTCTTTTTTACCCTTACCTTGTGGATTGTTATTGCCCGACTCATTCTCTGTTAAGTTGTTTGTTGCTCTTCTTTTTTCCATAATGTTTATTTCTTTGGGGTTAAATGAGCTATTCACTGCCTTAATCTTGGCCTGTCCAGCCTTGTCCGTACCAAACTAAATGCAAAAAAGATGAATTTTGATTGTGAATGTAGGTGAATATAAAAGACAAAATGACTGTTCACTGCCCTTTAGACCTACAATCTGCGACAAAATCGTTGAGGCATTGTACTGAAATAGGGTAACTTCGGAGAACAAAACAATCCACATCCCTCCCCTTCCCCTCCTTCAAAGCTGTGGTGTTGGGTGTTTTCTATAGGTAGCTCGAACGCGTCACAACATTGCATGGAGGGGATGAGGGAGGGGAAGCTTTATTTTTTCCCATTTTAAGTCGATAAAACGTGTCTCTTGCCGATTGTAGAGTGATACAATGTGCTCTATTAAGAAAAGGACTACAACATCCTGAGAAACAAGAAGCCAGAGAAATCTAGAGAAATGAAGTATAAATTGTCCTTTTTACATTGTGCGAGTTATTCAGGTATGTGCCGAGCCAAAGGAAAAGCTTTTAGGGCCATTTTGTCTAAAAATAACCTTTGAGCACTGAACTAGGGTATAGCTTAGTCTTGAATAAGGTATATGGACGTGAATGAATGACACTTTATTTCAATGGGTGCATAATTATAGTAACACTGTAGTCTGACTAGTCTCCCCTATGGCCCTTAAAACGGGCAACCAGGGAAAGTGACAGGGACGTGGACTCTGAGCTACACTTTCACACCCCATTATGTGGGATGGCCCTCAAGACAAATGGTTCAGAATTGCTGACACCGAGGTGGTACCGGCAACATTGTTGCAAAACGAGTTGAAAAGTGATGTCGGGCGTCGTAGTACCCACAAATCAAACGTTCCTTGCACCAAAACAAGCTGATTTGTTGCAAGACAGGTTTGAACGCGGTTTCCCGTTTTCCCAAGCTAAAAGCGTGGCTGGGTTATGTCATGCCTGTTTCCTTCCTCCTTACTGTTGAATTATGGGTCATAATACAAACAGCAAAGACGGAAAGAATTGGAATCCCGGTGGGATCCTGTAGTTTTTTTTGAAAACCTAGATTCTTGAGCTTCTTGCTCCCAGATGAATTCAAAACAAAACTAGGACATAACGGAGGCATGGAGAAGGTCTACGCAGTAGTCCATTTATATATTGACAATTATAAAAGTAAAGGAATTTTTTTATGACTAATTTTCTTGATATTTTTTTTTCCCCAACTTGATTATGAATAGCAATACTTTAATAGTGGTCCAGTATCTAGTGACAGACCCTTGCGTTTGCTAAAGCTGTGTTGTATGAATATAGAGTGCACCTTATTCAAGGATAGACCGATTTTCATATGACCTTGAAAAGAAAACACGCAAAGAAAACAGAAACAACGAACGAACGGAAATAGAGCGATTTGGTTTATCGAACGGATACAAACGCGCGTTGCCTTTGGTTGGTTAAGCGAACGCTCGGGTGAAAAAACTTCATGCCCGAAGAACTTTCTAGAATTCAACTGATACTTCGCTTTGACGTCATACTGCAAAACGATTTGCCAATCGAACAATGCCTTCTCGATATTAAGGTTTCCTTTGGCGGGAAAACGAAGAGGCCATGTTTTGATCTTTAGTAAAATAACGAACACTTACCGAAACCATTATTCAAGGTCATACGAAAATCGCTCTATAACTTTATTTGTGTCATGAAATCGGTCTTTGCTGAAAGTCTTCAAGAATCGAAATATCCAATGAATTGGAGCGATCCATCGCGTTATTTCATTGTGGATATTGTGGAACATTCGTCTAGTCCATTACACTATTGACCATCAACTGAATTTTAATCTGTCATTAGTTGTTTATTTGTTATACATTTCGCTCTCTGTAAAGGTGAACGCACATATAGGATGACATGCTCCATATATTATCAGTGCACAGCTCGTTCTGTATACGAGAAGTCTTTCGCTAGCTAACTTTCAACGATAACTCACCTGTTTTAAAAGGCAATTCGGTCACTTCTTAGTGAAAAATGTAAAAATTTAGATAGTACAAATTTGTTATATTCCAAATTATTGTGAATTTAGCACAATTGTAGCTAAACTCAGCGAAAAGACATGGAACACAGAGATCCCTACTAGCGGTTTTGAAAATGAACTCGCCGACAATTTGCCCCGCGATCCTTTGCGGACTGCTCTCCAACCTCCTCGCACGCATGACTCTGAGAATTACTTTTATCTTAATATCCCGTAGCAGTTGCTAAGGACGTTTTCTACCCCCTTCTCTGCTTCTGTTGACTTCTCTTTCAGTTTGTACAACACGTACTCAATCCTTTGTATAATGGTTTTCTCGTCATTTAAAACTTCCATATTATTAAGTATCACTTGTCTTCTTGTAGATGTTGTGTTCGGTGAATTTGCATTTTTATGGGAGAAGGCAGAAGGCAAACAGACTCCAGGCAACCGTCTCTCTACGGTTGACAATCTAGTAACAAACTATTATTCATTACAATCCATTTTGAAATCACTGGCGATTTCAAAATCATCTAATTGGTAGCAGTGATATACTCACAAAACCTTTTTGGTTCCAAATCACATCTGCTTCTAAATTAAATTTTGTTCTAAATCCCATCATTTTTTCTGTTTTGCATGTACAATGAGACTGTATAATTAACCAAAGCGTTTCTGGTTCCTCTTTCCCACAAACCGGTTACAGGAGCATTAAAATATTAGTACTGTTAAAAATACTCTTAATTGTGTGATGTCAGAAGATAATGCAATAAAGCTGTAATTGAACTTCTTGTCCTACATCACGCATATTGCCTTATATAAATACTAAAAAACATTATGAATGCGAATCTGTATCAAATTATTCGCGTGACGTTGCATAATTATTTATTATGTCAATCTTTGGAGAACTACTTCTAACCATTCATTATAATAATTTTGAGACGAAGCCAAAATGTCATTCGACTTTCGCGCAAAATTTTTCTTGCTTGTGTAAAAGGAGAAAAAAATTGCAAAAAAGAGGAAAAAAATGTTAAATTTGTAAATTTTACGATTGTTTACGGTAAATATGAAACCCAAACAGCTTGGAGGATGTTTTGTTATTTACACTACAAAGGGAGAAAATTTTCATGAAATTGGATGGTGGCAATCATGAAAGTCTGTAAAAAATCGGAATTCTTACAAGGCCATCTCGCCGAATCGAAAAATAAATTGATGAAATGTGAACTGATCTTCCGCCTCGACAACTCCTCGTATTATAGTATTGAGAGCTTCAACTTATTTCAACAGCACCGCGAAGCTTGGCTCAGAACACTAATTCCTGCAATCCGCTATTTAACTATTGCGCTTAATACGTTGATTGAGTGGTTGTAGGTTGTATCAGGTCAACAGTATTATACAAAATTAAAGTGAGAACTGACATGAAGAACTTACTGGTATCTTAATATCATTTGGTGGCAACTGCGAAGGACGTATTGCACCTGTTTGGTCCGTTGGTTTCTTCTTCTTCAGTTCATCCAACATAACCTTAATCTCTTCTTTTAAATTTCTTTCTTCCTCTTTTTTCGTGCGATCCACTTTCTCTTTAGCATTTTTTGTCGCCATTATCAAGTACTACTTAATAATCTTTTTCAGAAGCTATATTCGACGATCTTGCTTTGTTATTTTACTTATCAGAAGGTATACAGACGCTTGCGAACCGTGACGTCATTGCTCAGTTTATAAATTGAGGTACTACCAAGCTCTGTTCATTGGTTAAAAAACTGTCGTTTATAAATATCGAAGAAAATTAAACATTTCATTTCCACTTGCGGTTACTGCAGCTGACAGCTTGCAGACATTTAGGAAGAAACGGAGGGAATTTCTTGTTAAATCACTTGTTGTTCGTCAGGTGAGATCAGATTTTCATGTGATAATTCTTGAAACAATGTTTAGATATTTTTTCCAATATTTCTCATCATCTATCTTATTAATTATTTAATATTAACCTGTGAAATATTATTTACATATTTATGTACGTCTGGTCTGTAAAATCCTAATTGACAACAATAAAGTATTACTGTTACCGTTACTAACCTTGTTATTGCCAGTAAAAGTTATGATATAAAAGCCACGAGACAAACTTTCTGTTAGATTACTGGCATAGTGATCTCCATGGAAGCGTATGTTCATTACTACCCTTCGCACAGCGCGCAAATCGCGAATGAAAACACAACGACATATATGGAGTGTGACTCTTGCTGGGTGCCTAATGGACACAATGGACCAGCGCGTGCTTTATTGACAAGATATCTTAGCAATACAGTCCAACAATACAAATGCTCTTGAAGTAATATAAAAAATTACAGAAATAATATAATTTCAACATAAACGAACATTTAAATAATATGGAACGTGACAAAAAGTAGAATCAAAGGAATGATACACTACCCGGTACGAAAACCCGGAATAAAAAACCCAGTGGGACAAAAAAAACCGGGAACGTACTCCTCGATCGAATGCAGTGTATCGAGCTCCGAGGATTAGAGCTTTAGACTAACTAAGGAACTAACAATAAGTTTGGTCACCGATAACGGCTGTCCAAAAGGCGAGATAGCCAAAAAAGTCTATACGTCGATATTTATACAAATATTCATAGTGTATAATAAAATGTAGTTACGTAACCTCTATTAAAAAACTGAGTAATTAAGAAGAAAAGGTTGACACAAATGTGACAAAAATGCTACGAACCGTAATGAAACAGCTTTTCAACTACACGGTGTTACGTTGAAAAGCATTTATTATATTCAAGAAACACTTTAAAGAGATAATTTACATTTGCTAGACTACGATTAGTCTTTTGTTTATATGGAGGAGAATAAAAGACCACTCCTGATCCTAGTCCAATAGCGTTCGCATTCAATCTGTAACTTTGCTTTAGACTATTGTTGAGCAGTCAGTAAAATGCTAGTTCTTCCAAAATAATTGACACCATAACAGAAATTCCTAGACTTCTTACTGGAACCCGCATTACCCTTAGCAATTTTGGGGGCGCGCAAGATTCAATGCACTATCGAACACCATTCCCAAGGTCTCTGTAAGTCAGAGTCTGAGTGTTCGAGAAACATATTTTGGGGCATTTTTATCACAACAAGTGTCCGCTTAGTCCGCTTACAGGATTTTACGACTAAAGCCAAAAATGGGACTTAAGACAAAAAACGAACGATTATCGAGAGCTAGAAAGAATAAATTAGAAGAGGATAGCAAAAAAGCCTGTGCGTAAAAAAACAATAATACACACGCTCGAAAAGAAATAAAAGAAGAAAATTGAGAACCAAAATTTTCAGACATTTTTGAATTTTAAAACCATTTAAGAAAACGAAGCTACAGCTAACTGATGTTGAAATATAAAATAACAGGAAATTTACGTTGAGACGATCGTAGACTGCAATCACGGCTTTACACTATTCTGCGCATGAACAGTATCAATGAACTGTTTATTTCTACTGAGTCCCCAGTCTAGCCGCAAGGGTTAGCTGTTGAACTGTTTCGGGAAGTCGCGACATTGAACGATGGTAGAGACCTTACGGAGGCGCGAAGTCAGGCTTCACACACGTAACAGCATTGTAAAAAGTCCGTTGCTTGTGAAATAGCGTGCATGCAAGCTCTCCAATTTCATTTGCAGGGGATATCGTAAGAAGATATTGGCAAGAGGTACACTAGGGAGACGTAATGCGCAAGCGAGGGACAGCCACTCACTTCGCTTGCCACTCAAAATGAGGAGTGTGTTACACGCAGGCTACTTGGTTAGATGATTCCGATTCACCGCCAACAAAAAGAAGCGTACATTTTATCGACACATTTATTTCCCATGCAGCCGGCTTATAGCCTGCGTCGAAGTTTAGTAACGTCTGTGGCACACAGGCTACTTACTCATTGCTGTTATAATTACACTGAATGCGTAGAGGTGACATCATATCACAGTGGTCTTCTAAAACGACGAGTCATTCATGCTTGGCAAGGGAAGTAGTCCTAAAATAAATAAACAATCAACATACCTTATTTATTCCAATAAGCGCCCAACCTCGAATTAGCGCCGACCTCGAATAAGCGCCCATCCTAAAGGCAGAAGAAGTTAATAAGCGCCCACCCCACCCCGCTCCCTGTCAATCAAACTCAAATAAGCGCCCACCCACTTGAGTGACAATGAGATTGAAATTGAAATTGAATAAGGACTAATAAGAGACTTTCCCGAAGACGAAGTTTTCTTCAGAGTAGTTACAGAAACCTTGCATTGTTACCTCTTCGCGTTTTGTTATTAGCATTTACTGTACGTTATGTTGCAAAATAAACATACTACACTTGCTGAAAATGGTGAAAATTTAATAAGCGCCCAGCCTCGAATAAGCGCCCACTCTCAAGGTCCAAAAATTTAATAAGCGCCCAGGGCGGTTAATCGAATAAATACGGTATCTTCGATTTGAAATGAACTGTTAGCAGGCCTAGTTAAAGCAGCTTAATGTGGGTAGTTCGCTTACTGATATCACTTCTTCAGCAGTATATAAACTACATTTAGTATCTTGTTCCTTTTAGTAAATAATTAAAATTCATAAAATCGAAATAATAAGAGAACCCTGGGAGCGAGGTTGATCTTCGGTAGTATAACGTTTACATTTCTGCTTTTGCAACTAACTGATAATGAGCCACTAGCCAGCAAAC